GTCACCTTGCTGTTGTTTTTGTTGCGACTTACCTCATTTGTCTGAACTAACATCAGATCAAATCCACGAATTATACTGTGGCTAGAAGTGCAATAAAAATGAAAAGATTAAAAGAAATGAAGCTTTAATAGTGATTACTTTTTTTAAAAAAATTGTTATTCTTAAAATATCTGTCAAGGTAGGTTCCGCAAAGAGACCTAAATTTTCAGTTTGAAATGGTATCAAAACATGAACTTTTTCACTGACACTTAGTATTGACTGCTTATTGCTTGTTCATTGCCAATGTCTGGTGTCGGCTTGTGTGTGTTAGATGTGTTTTCCACTTTTTTTAATATTAAATAAAGTTGGTTTTAACTGTTAGCTGAAGTCTGTGCCTTTCTACTGATGGAGTCTAATGGCGATAAACCATCACCATATTTTGGTGACCTAAAGAAAGACCTGCACTGCATACATTGTGGCTACACCTGCTTTGAAGACTGGTTTTGATTTTATCCATGGTCTTGTATGGAAGATGATTTCCAGTTATAAAATCTTGTGGTCCAGAACTTATCCAAATGAAGTATGCTACAGTTTTACGTGCTGCTGGAGAAAGTTTTTGAGCAACCTAGGTGGATTCTGTGATTTCACTGTGGTACTGTGTTAGTACGAATGATTCTTAAGAACATTTTGGTGAATATTTTCATCAAATTGTGTATTGATACTGAAACTGGTTTACCTTTTTAAAGTATTGGTTTTCTGAATGCGGGTATGATTAAATTATTTTTTCATATTATTGTTTTTTAGTGTTTAAGTGTTTTTCAAGTTTAATTGAATTTTTGAATTAAGTATTAAAGATTTTAAGTGTATTTTTTTAAGGAAAATATTTTTTTACCACGCATTTTTTGTCTCCACTGCAGTCTGTTTTTCCTTATTAATAATGTGTACAGTATATTTTTACTAGGTGACTATTTTACTTACAGATGTGTAATACATCTTCTATCTTTTTATACCATTCGTTAGTACTGATATTTATCTAGTGTTTCAAATTAGAATCATATATCTTTTCTGAACTTAATAGTCATGTTGAGTAAGGAAAATTCTACTGATGATTTTGCAACTGAAAATATAGCAGCTACACAGGTACTGCAAAACTCAGCAATAATATATAATCTATTCTGGCTGCTCTCAGTGAAGATGATTTGAGTAAATTGGCTATGGTCGCCGACAAGATTACTCAATTCACATCTCACTCTTATATGAATACGGCTATCATAAAATCTCAGCCAAGTGAATCCGCTCTAATTTGTCTGGAACTCCAGGTAGTGTAACTGACAAAGCAAGTTAGAGAGTTAACCTCTGCCTTAGGACGCAATTCTCGGAGTCCTAAGTGTAATTTTTGGCATTCATACCGACATGGTAGGTACCACGAACACACTAATCGTTACAACCAGCGAACAGATGACCTTTATCCTATAAATTTAGGCAAGGGTACAAGTAAATGGCAGTCTCTGTGTTCGTTTTGTAAAGTGGGAAATGTCAAATCGCTTGTTGGCCAAGGTGGTGATTGCAGGGTGAATCATATACTTTTGGCCGACGCCTAGTGAAAATTAAAATATTTGGGTGGATGTGTTGGTTTTACAAAAAACTATGCTCAGTGTTCTAAGCCTTCTAATTATTTGGCTTTGTTCACCCCAAATGAAACTAAGATTCCCACATTTAGCATTGAACATCTTACTTTGGATTTAAATTTACATTGCATATTCACTGACTTATTCGCTGTTGCATATTTAAATTAGGAAATTTTGGGTTCTTATTTCTTTAAAAAATAAGGATTACTTGCTGATCTTGCTAATAATTGCCTTATCGATTCAAGGACTGGTTTGTTATCCCGCGGCAAATTGTTTATGAGTTTATTTGATTTAGGCATACCTGTCTTCTTGGTAACTCTAGATTTGATAAATTACTAGCTGAGTATCCTGAACTCACTATATCTTCTTATGTAAGCAACAATAATCAAACTTCAACAATTTTTTATTATAATGAAGGACCCCCAGTGTTTCCCAAACACTGTCATTTGTTGCCAGATTTACTCAAGGCGGCACGAAAGAAGTTTGAGCAACTTATGTCACAGGGAATCATTCAGCCATCCAAAAGTGCTTTGGTCAGCCCTCTTCACATGGTCCATAAGGCTAATAGTGACTTATAGACTAACAGCATTCAAGTAGTTGTAGTCATCGCAAGGGACTACAACTACTTGAATGCTGTGACTAATCTTCACCGGTATCCTGCACCCCAAATTCAGGACAATACACAGATTTTTTCTGGACAAAATGTTTTTTCAGTACTTGATTTGGTTAGTGTTAGGGTGTACTATCAAAAACCTGTTAACCCAGAAGATGTGCCTAAAACAGATGTGGCTACGCTGTTTGGATTATCTGAGGTCCTTAAAACCCTGCTTGATTTGTGAAACACAGGCAAAACATTCCAAAGATTTATTCAAGTACTTTATGGCTTACACTTCTGTGTTCCTTACATTGATGATTTGCATGTGGCTTCAGCAAATGAAGATGAGCATGAAAGCCACCTCTGTTCGATTTTTGATTGCAAAAAAAAAAAAAAAAAAAAAAAAAAAATACAGGTTAAAACTGAGCCTTCTAAATGTGTTCTGGGAAAGTCATTGGTATCATTTCTTTACTGTTTAATTACCCCTTCAAGTGTTTGACCTTTTCCTTAAAAAAACTGCGATAATTCCTAATGTTTTTAAACCTGCAATAATGTCTGAAGTAAAGAGGTTTTTGACAATGTTGAATTTTTATCAATGATTTTTACTAAAGCTCTGTTTCTCTTTTAAAAGGTTCTCAGATGAAAGGTAAATATTAAAGTCTTTAACAGTGTAAACAACTGTGCCTTTGAAAAATGCAAAACTGATCTAAAAAATTCAGTCGCACTTGGTTACCATGCCCCACACCAGCAGTTGTCATTGATGATCAATGCCTCAGATGTGGCTATTGGAGCTGTTTTTGCACTCGCAACTAGTGATGAGTCGGTACTACCGACTCGGGTATTTTGTAACGGGTAATGAAAATCGGTACATCCAAGAACCCGTTACTTCAGTACCGAAATCGGTACTTTTCGGTATTTGTTCTTTACAGGGTATTCGTTACTTCTGTTACTTCTGTACGAAACGGGTGCTTTTCGGTACCAAACGGGTACTTTTCGGTATTCGTTACTTCTGTACCGAAACGGGTGCTTTTTGGTATTCGTTACTTGGAGGATCGATGAGGGTTCACCTCACTTCGGTTTTGGTACGAGGACAGTAGTATCTGGTTGTATTTGCGAAATGGTGATATGCGCTCCTTGTGTCCATGAATGACCTTGAAATAGGGCATGGAATGGCAAACGTGAAAGGGGGGAACTTCCGTTCCGTTCGTCACGGAGACTAGAGTTTGAGGTAGTATAATTAATTGCCTTTGTGTGCGCGGGAGGACGAGTGTGAAATAGTGGAAATTTTTCGAAAGGCCGTTCGTTGTGTGTGTGGGGGGGAATAGTAGTAGCAGTTGGAGTCACTGTCGCCGGCATTGCTCGCTTGTGATTGGAGTCGGTATAGTCAGGAGGGAAAGGGAGGGGAGCGCTAGATGATTTGCAATCCGAATTGTGCATGTTTTAATTTTTCATCGTTTGTAGGAGAAAAACTGCGTGGATCTGAAATGATTGATTTGGTAAGTTGCTGTTGTTGGATTGGTGAATGGAATCAACTACCAACTAGATTACTTCCTTTTCCTCAACATATTTTTAGCATAAATCATGAAAAATATTTTTCGTTTGCTTGCTTAATAGGGCAACGTAAATCATATGATCCTTTTTAAATAAATATGATCCTTTTTTTATCCCGCTGTACCTACTTCAGAAAATGTCACAGCATCTAGTGGATCACTAAGCCAATCAACATAAAATACAGACGCAATTTTAAACTTTTCTAATGAAAGAACAAAGATAACTGACCCACTTATGATAATTCTTCCCCCTTCTAAAAACAGATTTTCATCTCGCCAAAAACTAAACCCAGGTCACGTGCCTAACGCAGGATTGTCAACGCCTGCTTTACCCCCCAGGACGTGACGACGCTCCTCCGATAGGAAGAGAGGTGAACTTTGACCTGGCAGTCCGAATCTTTCTTTTTTTTTTTTTTTTTTTTTCTCCCTCTGGAGCTTATTTGAGGGGGGGGAAAACTATCGAATGGAACACCGGAAATTATCCGGACATGTTTATGTAAACATACATGTCCCTCCCTTTTTTTCCTTTGCATTTTTTGCTCTTTCATGCCTGATTAATAGAATCATTAGGCGATATTGCACTTACCCTTTTCACAGCGTAGTGCTGATTTTAGAATTTGCAGCTGGAGTGAACAGCGGAAGTCGTTAATAGAATTTTTTTTATGCTTATCTGACGATGCTGATGACCATCTCCCAACTTCGTCACTTTTCCCATAAGATTCATTCTTGTCTCGTACTGGTGAGTATCGGTACGTTATAGAATTGCTTAGTCTCTATCAGTTTCTTACGCCTCAGAAAAAAAAAAAAAAAAAAAATTACAAAATGTCTAGTAAGAAAAGGAAATTCAGCTTGGTTTGGCAGCACTTTTCCTATACTAATGAAGACGAAAAAGTTATGTGTGACATTTGTAAAGACCTTTTATCCATCAAAGGTGGTTCAACAGGAAATTAAAAAAAAAACATTTGCAAAGGAAGCATCCTTGTGTAAATCTGCACGAGAAACGCGCTTTGCCGAATCAAGATGTTGATGATATTGATGCCGCTCCAGCCCGTTCTGTCGTCACTAGCCCTGCAGATGGTGGGCAACCATGCACATCCCAGCAGACTACACAACTTACGGTAGACAACAGTGCTTGTGATATTGTTGGTGTATTTTCACAAAAATCCCAGTCCAGCATAATGCAGTTTGTCCAGAGAAATACGATGGATGTACATAAAAAAAAAAGTAATCGATCGCGCACTGATCAAAATGGTATATAAGGATTTACAACCAATAAGTATCGTAGAAAATGAGGGATTCCGAGAATACTCAAAGGCTTTGAATCCAACCTATTCCTTACCTTCACGGAAAACGGTTTCTAAATCCTTGCTTCCTGCTGCTTATGAAGAAAAAAAGAATAGTTTAAAAAACGTTCTTAGTGCTGTACAAAATATCTGTTTGACTGTAGACTGTTGGAGCAACCAAAAGGCTGAAAGTTACATGGCCGTGACAGGCCATTTTATTGACGAACACATGCAAAGGAAAACGGTACTGATTGACTGCTCAATTTTTGATGAACGTCATTCAGCCAAAAATATTGCAGAAAATATCATACACATTTGCCAACCATATTTTCCGATGGAAAAAGTGTCTTTAATAGTGACTGACAATGCCAAAAATATGATTAACGCTGTCGACAGCGAACTAAAGTTAAAACATTTAGGATGCATTGCACACTCTCTCAATTTGGCTGTCACAAATTCTCTAAACGAGGTTAACGACCTTCTAACGAAAATTAGGGATATTGTGATAGTTTACAGGAGAAGTAATATCGCTGCAAAAAATCTGCGAAAATATCTGTGCTCTAGCGAGGAGAGAAAAGACTTAAAAGTCATCTTAGATGTGAAGACTCGTTGGAACAGCACGTTTTATATGGTAAAACGTTTCCTTGAACTGAAAGACGCTATTCGTTCTACAATGGGTCTGATGAACGACCCCCCAGAGGCTCTTGATGTGCCAGAATGGGAAAGTGTCCAACATCTTTGTGACGTTTTGAAACCTTTGAAAAGGTGATTTGCGAGTTGAGTTCGGAAAAATGCTTGACAGCATCTATGGCGCCTGTGTTAATCGGCGGACTTCAAAAAAATCTGTGAAAATCTGCTTAGTAAAAGTGTTAATGAACAAGTACAAAATGTGGTACTAGTACTACAACGTGAATTGGGTAATATATTTACAACTATCGATTCAAGAGAAGGCATTGCTCATGCTGCTTTCCTTGACCCCCGAATAAAAAAAATTGGGGCTCAAATGTGATGTCGCCAAAAAAAATTGAAAGTGATATCATCTGTGAGTTATCGGTAGTTGCACAAACTACCCATAATCTTGTTGAGGATGTGGAAGGGGATTATGAACAGATAGACGAATCATCGGTTTGGTTCGAGTTTGGGAGTAAAGACTCTCGAACTTCATCAGCTCCCGCAGCAGACGCGGCGATCGACAAAGCTGCGGCAGAAGTGAAAAGATACCTGCAAGAGCCCATTCTTTCCAGGAAATCTGATCCACTGGAGTGGTGGGAAAAGAATAAAAATGTATTTCCTAATTTGTATGAATTATCACGGAAAAAATTAGGCCTTGTGGCTACTTCAGTGCCATGCGAAAGGGTGTTCTCTAAAGCTGGATTAATACTGAATGATCGGCGAAACCGTTTGAGTGGACAAAAGTTGAAACAACTAATTTTCTTACATTACAATTATAATATTTAATCATTTGTTGACCTTCTTAAAATTCCAACCTAAGTTCAGCTTAAAATGTTTATTTCTATGTTTATTTTCGCTGCATTATTTTCAAAACTGTTTCTGGGAGTCAATTTTTTATGCTTAATTTTTCGTTACATATTTTAAGTGGTCTTTATAAAAAAAATAGAAGGAATTAAATGCCTAAAATTTCCATAAAGTTAAAAAATTTGATACTTTTATAACGTTTTGCACAGCCTATCAAAGTTTTATTTGTTTTAATTAAATGAAATATTACTTCATTCAAATGTCAATTTCTTAAAAAAAAATATTATTTTGAAATTGTATTTAGATTATTAATATAACATAAAGTTCTACAGTTCCATTATTTACTTAGCTGTACTCACATATGTTAAGTTCTCATATAGTTGAAAGCATGCTATCTTATTTTCTAGTGTTTAAATCATCTTTAATTTAAATTTTTATATCGAATGTACTTATTGAATTCATATAATGCGATTTTACAAATATTTTTGTTGCTTTTTGCTGTTACAGCATTCAGATATTACGTTCTCGTAGTTTTAAAGACATGCTGCCTTATTTCCTAGTGTTAATAATCTTTCACTCAAAATTCTTACGTCGAATGAGCTTTGGCTGTAATTTGAGTTTTAAAAATATTTTTTACCATTCTGTTGCATTTTTGTGTTTACTGCATCCAGGTATTTCGCTCTCACAGTTTTAAACCCTTTGCTATCTTATTTTCTAGTGTTTTTAATAATCTTCAACTCAAAATTGTTATATTGAATGTGCTTTTTAAAATCATATTGTGCATTTTTAAAAATATTAACCATTTTGCTGAAATTTACTTATTACTGTAGTACATCCAAATATATTACATTATCTCACTTTTCAAAACATACCTCATTTTCTAGTGCTTTTGGTAATTCAAAATGTTAATCAAATATATATGTTTATGCATTTTTTAAAAATCATTTTTTGTTTTTAAAAATATTTCTAATCATTTTGTTGTTTATTGTACGGTGCCAAATCTCCAAAAGTACAAATTTAACTCAAAATAAACCTAAATGTAATTTAAAAAGGAACAGTATAAACTTTTTTGTGGAAAAGCTCTTCAACCATGTGTATATGAATAAATGTGTAAATTTTATTTTATGCCAGTATTGTACAATTAAACACACAAGGTCATTTATGTTATATTTAATGTTTAAATTATCTTACTTTTTTATTCAGAATTTTTAATATATATAGGGGAGAGTAGAGAATAAGAGATTTATCTTTTTTAAAATTTGGTAGCTTGAATAAGTTTTATTTCGCAGTGGTACTGAAGGTCATTATCTTATCTATAAGTGGGATAAAGGTTTGTGATTATTTTAATTTCTAGACCCTACGCACCCCTATGCCCTTTACTACCGAATTGAAGGTATTAAACGACTTCTGTGGTATGTTATTTATCCGTATAAATAAAAAATATCA